TTCAACATTAACAAGGAATTACACATGGATGATGGCAAAACGTATATTCTGGAACAATAAACTTATAGGAACTAAAATATAACTGGAATTAGGACAGAAACTAATTTTTTGCCTTTTTTTGAGTATTTAATTTAATTTATGCAATAATAACAACTAAATGCCGGAATTAATTAAAATTTACTTCTACTTCGTAAAAATTAAATTTGTTTTGATAAATAACTACCTTGAGGCTAGTAAAAAACTATATAATTAATTGGAATGTATTTAATGTCAACAACTATTTTATTCAAATTTAAGGAGAAAATGCGAAATAGTGGAATAATTTTCTGAAAATTTTAGAAGCACAGATAGAAAAAACTAAGGACAGATTCAGATTCTACTCATTGAAAGGATGAAAATACATATAAAGGACTCACAATTTGGAGCTAAAATGAGAAAGATATGAAAGATTGAAGTTGAAGGTGCAACAATGGTGGAAATCCGAGCTTTGAGGAGGAAGAAGACGCCCTTTTTGATCTGATTTGGGCTTGAAATTGGTGTGTTTGAGTTCAGCAAAAATCGGGCAATTTATAGGAAATTTTTCTCCGTAGGCGGCCATCCAGGCGGCCGCCTTCCGCCTCTCTCCGGCCGCCTTCCGTCTAATCGCCGGCAGCGGATCGTGGCCGGTCCTGTCAGCCGTAGGCGGCCACAGAGGGCGGCCGCCTTCCGTCACACATTGGCCGCCTGCCGTCTTTTCATGGTCAAATCGGATCGCGGCGGATCCCGGCGGATCCCGGCCGCCGCAGGTGGTCCAGCAGGCGGCCGCCTGCCGTTCCTGTCTGGCCGCCTGCCGTCAAATCCCACCGGCCGGCGGTTGCTTCGTCGTCTTCTGCCGCAGGCGGTCACCGTAGGCGGCCGCCTTCCGTCCAGTGTCGGCGGCCTACGGTCTTTTCCGAATCCGGTCAAAGTCAAAGTTTGACTTTCCAAAAATACCGTAGGCGGCCGCGAAGGCCTTCATTTTGGCCGCCTGTTTGGGCGCCTATGAGATACTTTGTCCGGCTTGTTCCTTGTTTTGTGCTCTTCAATATTGTCTTCTGGACCACTTTGAAATAATGTTTCCTTCTTTCGGTATGATATCATTTGTTGTCCAAATTGGCTCATTTTGTGCTCAATTGACCCGAAATCCCGCTAAACATATTATGGATGTGATTTTTACCTGATTTCATGAAACTCGAACCAAAATATAAAAAATGTGCCTTTTCTTTCTATTTTCAATCAAAAATCGCTTAAATTTGATAAGAAAAATAAGTACAAAAATGGACTTATCAGTTCAATTAAGCCCTTTCGGTCGGTAAGTAACCGGTTTCCCTGTTAAATGTAACCCGTTTCCCGGCAGATGCCGTTGCTGGGGTTCGAGCACATCGTCGTCGTCATCACCGTTTAACCGGGAAACCGGTTACTTACCAACCAAAAGGGCTTAATTGAACGTTTTTTAATAGTTTGAGGACTTAATTGAGTGTTTCTAAAGTACGGGGGCTTAATTGACTTTTTCGGCATAGTACGGGGACTTGTTTGATAGTTTTCTCTTATTTTCGAGCAAAAGAAAAGAGGGACAGAAACAACATCCTCTCTCACCTTGAGCCTTGAGGCCATTTGTTTAAAATGATTACTACGTAGTACTACGTATTATTAATCGAGTAAGACAAATTTATATGATATGGAGACCGGAGTACTTTTATTCAAATGTACCGGTCTAAGCGATTGATCTTCTGAGGTAATAAGAATATAAGATGGCCAACATGACCTTTCTTGTATACACGTCACCTTATATGCCTGTTTGCATGCCAAGTATATCTTGTTTGTGCGCAGACATAAGGACAAAAAGGGAACTGTCAGTGACTTCAAAAAAGTGAATTGTTTGTACGTAGACAATTTGCCGGCATGTACAAATAACATTTTTGTTAGTATAATGAAATACAAAAGGCAACTCCGTCATGAGATCATTTTTTGTATCATGTCTGTGTCAAACCATGATAAAGGAGGAGGGTGTTGTGGTAGACATGTGACAACAAACAGTATTATCAGTCACATCACATAACATGAATTGAACTATGAATATCGCTACAGCTAGGTCGTCGCCCGTAAGCGGTGCGTCATCCCTCCGCCTGGGAGTGATGTCTAATATAACATAAGATGCGTGTGCTTGATTTTCAAGGTAAAAAGAGGAGGGTTAAGGTACAAGGGGAGCCAAAGATAAAGTGGTGGAGGCTAGAGGAGAATCTCCAACAAACTTTTACGCAGAAAATGCTGGAGGAAGATGTATGGTCCATTGATAATGACGCACATGTGGATGATCATGTGTGGTTATCAATGGAGTCCACCTTTAACAAAGTGGCGAAAGAGATACTTAGAGAATCTAAAGGATGTCTACCATCAAAAAAGGACACATCTTGGTGGAATGATGAGGTGAAACAAGCAATAAGGATCAAAAGGGAATGCTATAAGAAATGGGACAAAAGTTGGAGCGACGAGAACATAGAGGGGGTACAAGGAGGCTAAAAAAAAGAGCAAAGAAAGTTGTAAAGGAAGCAAGAGGAAAAGTGAACAAGGAATTGTATGCAAAATTGGACTCTAAGGAAGGAGAAAAAGATATTTACAGACTTGCTCGTCTTCATGACCGTAGGACTCAAGATATAGGAAAAGTTAAGTGTGTGAAGGATGTCGATCAAAGGGTACTAATGGAGGACGGAGAGATAAAAGAGGTGGAGGTCTTACTTTGATACACTATTCAACGGGAACAAAGCGCAAGATATCGGTGATTTGACCATATCAGATTGTATGGTAAATCGTGATTTTGTGAGAATTGAAGGATCCAAAAACCGGAAGTTAAGGAGGCTCTGAGGAAAATGGGGCGGAAGAAAGCAGTGGGTCCAAATGGCATATCGATCCAGGCTTGGAGAAGTTTGGGAGAGAGGGGCATCGAGTGGTTAACAAGTTTCTTCAACATGATTGGCAAAAACAACAAGATGTCAATGAGTTGGAGGAAGAGTACTTTCATCCCCTTATTCAAGAATAAGGGTGATATGTACAAGAATGTGCCAACTATCGAGGGATTAAGCTTATGAGTCACATCATGAAGCTTTGGGAGCGAGTGATTGAGGAAATATTTCGAAGAACTGTGAAGATTTCAGAGAATCAATTCAGTTTTATGCATGGTCGCTCAACGACTGAGGTCATTCACCTTCTTCGGCAGCTTATGGAGAAGTACACAGACGCTCACAAGGATCTTCATTTGGTGTTCATTGACTTAGAAAAGGCTTATGATAGAGTACCTCGAGAAGTTCTTTGGTGGGCCTTAACTAAAAAAGGCATATCACGCAAGTATATCAGCATCACCATGGATATGTATGAGGATTGTACTACTAGTGTTCGTACTAATGTAGGGAGGACTGCAGAGTTCCCTATTACTACCGGAGTGCACCAAGGATCGACTCTGAGCCATTTCTTATTTGTCATAGTCATGGATGAACTTACAAAGTCAATTCAAGACGAAATACCGTGGTGCATGATGTTTGCTGACAATATTGTATTGATTGATGAGACGCAATCAGGTCTTAAAGCAAAGTTGGAAGTATGGCGACAGATATTGGAGAACAAGGGTTTCAGACTAAGTCGGAGCAAGACAGAGTACATGGAGTGCAAATTTGGTGGAGGTAGAAGCAGTGGTAATAGTGAAATTACTCTAGATGGTAAGGAAATACCAGTTAGTGATATGTTCCATTACTTGGGCTCCATAATTCAGAAGGACGCTGAGCTAGATGGAGATGTATTCCATAGAATCAGAACATGGTGGATGAAGTGGAAAAGTGTGTCAGGATTTCTATGTGATAGAGGTATGCCGACTAGACTGAAGGGTAAATTTTATAGGACGGCAATAAGGCTTGCATTGCTGTATGGCGTAGAGTGTTGGGCGGTGAAACAATGTCACATTCAAAAGATGAGTGTGCCAGAGATGTGCATGTTGCGTTGGATGTGTGGGCATACTAAGAAGGACCACATGAGAAATGAGACAATCAGACAAACAGTGGGAGTAGCACCTATTGAAGACAAGATGCGGGAGTCGCGCCTACAGTGGTTTGGTCATGTGCATAGAAGATCGAGTGATGCACCTTGTTTTTTATTCTTTTATCCTTATATATGTAAACATATTTTTATCTTTTTATTTTAACATTTTTAGGTATATTAATCTCATTTTATATTATATTTTTTATAATAGCTTATTTTTTTACCTTTATTTTCTTTCTTTTCCTTTTGGTGGTTATATCATGTATCGATTCATGTTAGCCGACCCCAATATCTTTTGAGACTAAAGCTTGGATGTTGTTGTTGTTGTAATGAAATACAAAAGGCAAATATTTATTAATTTTGGTTCTGAACTGGTTCCAAGCCAGTTCATCCTAAATTGAACCGGGCCCTACAAGGTCGGGTTTTTATTTTTTTAGAATAAGCCAAAAACCGGTACCGTTGCACTTTTGGAACCAGACCATGCCCAAATAACTCGGTCCCAGTTACGGGTAACCCCACCCTGAAGACCTGGCCCAGGATCACCGATAGTAAGTGGCCATATCACGCATCTGCCCCATAGTTCTGGACTTCTGGTCAAGGTTCCAGCATTTGGGTACCAGAACAGAGAACAAGACAGGTCTGGAAAATGGAACAATGTCTATTCAAGGCGTAGCACAAATATGAGTATGTGAAAGAAGTGCACACAGAATTTACCCACTGAAAACGGAAAAGGCAGTGAAGCGGATCATCATACATCCATCAGATAGATTGTGGATTCTCACTGTCTCAGTATGAATACAGATTCAGTCACCCATCTAAATTAGTTGGTCGTGGCATGGATGGAGGCGGACAATCATGTAACACTAGAAGAAGGGATGGGTTGGCCGGAACTCAGAAGAGGATACTGAAAATATTTCAAAAAAAAAGCATAAAGCAAGCTAACTCTACAGAAAGAATCGAACAGAATGTAGGTACTAGCAAATATTTCACTGGAAATTAACAGCTGAAGATAATGCAAAATGGTTGATTCTAAAATGTTTGAAGTCAAGCAATAGTTCAATACAGCCAACACTAAATATTTTAAGATAAGACAAGATCCTCCACTGATCAAAAAGGTTGCCATCGAGGATAAATCTTCTATTACCATGTCTTCGTCACCTCAGGATTGCAAATATAGATTAACCGCAGCAAACGGATTTTTGGGATGCAGTAGTCGATCCTGCTGCCTGGTCTGGTTGGTTAATCTTGAGGGTCTGAGGCTGAAATGATTGAAAGGTTTAAGCAAACTAAGCATGAGAAACAAGTAGGCTTTAAAAAATATAAATAAGCAACATTTCTGCAGGGGGGTCAAGTAGGGGTGAGCACCGCAACCTTCAAAAATGTTTGAGCTGAAACAAGATGGTATAATTCCAGTCCAGAGCCAAACGCATTGTTCCAGGTATGACCGGGATGGTATTGGACCAAAATTGTTTTTTCTAAAGAATGTTTTCTTGTTTGAAAAATAGGCTTCTTAAGTTATTAATCTTTTTTAAAACATAAAATTTTGCTTGGATGAATGTGAAAACATAAACATTAATTGGAGATAATGCTTTAATTATGGTGCAACCACTCCGGATCAGATATTCTGGGTTTGGATCAGGAACTGCAATCCACAAAATTCTTTGGACTGAAGACCGTACAGGTATGTAAGCGGTCTGGCTTTCCGGTCTGGACCAGAATGTACTAAACCAAAATGAAAGTAATAACGCTATATCAGAGATTCCTACGCACTCAATTATTTTGAGCCAACATATAGTGCTAATCAAAACTTTTCACAATGGTAAAAAGTAAGCAATACAAATAGGGGGTGGGTGGAGATATAATAAGATAAGACTGATGGTTTCGAAGCTCAGGCACCTCAGTTTTTGAATCAGATTCAGCAAGCCTTGTTTTAATGTCCCTAGCTATTGAGAAGAAGACCTCCTCAACATTCATATTGGTCTTGGCACTCTGCACAAAATTGCCAGCAGAAATTAAGGAACACTTTACTAATGACTCTAAATTTGACCATGACATTCTATAATACTCACAGTCTCAAAGAATTTAATGCCATATTCATCTGCTAGTGCTTGACCCTTAGAAGTTGGGACAGCCTTAAGAAACAGTTCACATGAAGTCAATCATTGATTAGCAAAGAGAAAGCAGGTACACAAATCAATATATGCATGAAGAAAGCATATGTAAGCACACACTAAATGGATAAAAAATGCTCAACTCTTTTGCTTTCATCCATGTCAGCCTTGTTCCCGACCAACATTTTGTTGACATTATCAGAAGCATGATGTTCAATATTTCTGATCCAGTTTCTGATGTCTAACCATGAAAAAGAGCAAGGCACCAATATAGTCAGCAAAATACATAAGGAAATGCCCAAACGTATACTGATGAAAATGTTTTGCGCAATAGGGTGGGGGTGGAGGAACATGTACCGAGGAAAATACAGGTATAAATATAAAAGGTGACAATAAAAGCATATGAAAAATTACTGTTAAATGATGACTCATCAGTCACGTCGTACACCAGCAAAATACCCATTGCTCCACGATAGTAAACTGCATTATAGGAGTGTTATTGAGCGAAGATGTTCATTGTTCAAATGGAATAGAGAACTATTCTTACCACGTCTAAGAAAAAACCAGCAAAGAGCACAATAGTAAAACTCTATCAAAAGCATTAATCTAAAAATATTTTTTTGCAGTGTTTTCTTCCAGCAGGTAAGCAATGATAGAGCACCGTGTAGTAAGCTCATAAACATGCAAAATAAAATATGCCTAAAACAAAAGTGATACTAAATCCTCTCAAGCAAAAAAATTAAAGGTGGTGAGTGGATCTGCGTCACCTTCTAATATGAACACATCCACATATTTTGTGTCTACTGTGATTACTAAGGCACTCTGCAAATATATGTGCAGAATACCAAACAGGTAGTCTCATTTTTCATTGGTGGAATTTAAGTGGCTACTGAAGTTTTCCACAACTAAAGAACAACTGCCAGGGTCAGTGCTTCACGAACTCACACAGGAGATGACTCTGATATGGCAAATGTGTAATTTCAACAACCCGTGCTCCTGACAGAACACCATGTAGTTGGTGGAGTGACAGCATTTCGGTAGCTGGAGTTACCAAGTTATCTCGCGCTGATGCTTATGCAAAACGATGCCAATCATGACGAAATTAATTTTCCAAACCCAAATGGGCTTAGCTCTACTTCAGATAACCAGATGGGCCAAAAAAAATATTGGAGGGCTCTGACTCCAAGGCCCACCAAGGCCAATGAGTACTTTGAGTTGGAACTGCCTTGGTTTAGGCGGGCCCAGGATTGCAAGACCTTGCACCCTATTTTTATCATTGAAACTATCATCCAAAGACTGAGTGCACTGAGTATAAGGATCAGATTGGGCTACTATAGGCTCTTTTATGTCGATAACATTAGTAGGAGGGGGAGGAGGAGGAGGAGGGGTGGAGGTTTAGCCCTCTTTTGGCATGCACATTATTCGGCCCAGCTCTTTGTGATTCACAACTTCGCGTAACCACATCGATCTCATTGCTTTTTTTACCTGGGATACCTGTATGGAGATTGAAATACTTGTAAGGGTTTACTAACCAATGACTCCAATGGGATCTGCTTTGTGCCATTCAACCCATAGTTGTCATGGCGCATGGCGATCGCCATGGCTCAAAGGTATTTTTCACGGCGCATGGCGATGGCACATATGGCACATATGACGCTATAGCAAAGACCACTTTTTCATGTCGATGGCGCATATGGCATGCGCCATATCTCGCCATTGACTACTATGATTCAACCTAATCTGCACTTCCCTGGTGCTGATTTCAATGATTGCTGCTTGTGAAGGGGAGAAACAGTGGCCTCCTAAATACACTGAAACTCTCATTCAGATAATATCAAGCCCTCACGGGCTGTGAACTACTCGACCACAAAATGATTGGCTATCCTTTTATTTGAGAGGGATAAAACCCACAGTGGGTTCAGGGCTTCAGGGAAACTCTTCAATTGTGTTCTACGTTCAGGGCCTCAGGGGTGCTTGCATCTTCAATACGGATACCACATATTCTGATCATTCGGTGCCTTTCCCTGATCTCACAGCCCTAGAGCATAAGAGAAGTGCTAAGCCTTATTTTTAAAATTCCTGGGTTAGGGAGGAAAATCTCAAAACCATTGCTTCTTCACCATGACACAACTCAAACCAGCTTCAGATGTGAGATCGCTTAGCAGTTTGGGAGAGAACTACAAAAGTGGGGCAGGAGCATGTTACTAAATTCTGAAAGGCCATTAAATACTCAAATAGAGGCTCTGTTTTCTATGGCCATTCAAGGATGATGTGTCACTGAATGAATTCAGATTTGTTAACGATACAATCTGTTCATTATTGGGATTAAAAAAAGAGTACTCATGCTAAAGTCCTAAGCAGCGGATGGAGGAACTCAAACACAAGACTTTTCACCAATATGCCTCAGTTTGAAGAAAAAAATCTCTACTTCCAAACTAAACCTCTCAAAGGAGAATTGCTTCAAATGGAATTAAATGTAAAGCTCGACTAACCTGCAGAATGTTCTTGTTGAGAAGCAAGCAATGCTCCGAGTTTCAGTTGATATTTCTTAAGGTGCTAATGATGATAAGTCTAAAACCATCAAAGAAACATGGTCAATATTGGAAGTTTGACTCCAACTTAAGAATCGATATGCAATTACTTGTGGATCCAATGTGAGATGATATCATCGCTGACCTCTTGACAAGTCGGGTATCCAAAGACAGCTACACTTCATTCTTTCACGGTACCATGTAGGCATGTAGCGCTTTTCCTCTTTGGACGGATTCACTCTGGACCTTATCATGCACTAGGTAGCCCTCTCTCGCTACGCACCTAGCCGAGGACCATAATCCACGGAAGCTACAATCTAGCTTAGCAAGCACAAGAATGGAGGTTTGACCCCAACTTATGGGCCAATCCACAACATCTTGTGTATCTATTGTGGGATTATATCATAACCATTTATCCTCTAAACAAAAAAACAAAAATCTATGTATACATCTTTTAATAATAGTTTGTATCGACCAATGGTTCTTCGTACATAGGTACACTCCATGTTACATACTTACATTGTTACGCATTGTTGGAATGATGAAAATATAGAAGAGATCGGATAAAATCCATCGCAATTTAACTATCCATGGTTAATAGGAAAATTCACCATGGGCAAAAACATACCAGTAGTGATTGTCCGGAATCGCTCCTGACCAGCAGTATCCCATATTTGAAGTTTGATTCGCTTCGCATCAAGTTCTATAGTCCTTATCTTGAAATCAATGCTGCATAAAGTTGTCTCTATCAGTTTTCCGGAAGGAAGAAGCATTTAGAAATTAGAATAAATATATACACAATCATGCTGCCTTTTTCAATAAGTATGCACATATATTCTATAAGAGATTAGGAGTTGATTCAAAAGTGATTATATTATCATTCAGCTTAGCAATTATCCAGCTGCAAAAGGAATCCAATGTTCTCCAATGCAAACTATTTTTCCCTTTGTAGATAATCATCCACGTGCATTACTCTAGAATGAGCAGCAACATCAAAAAATCCTTAGTTGAAAAATTTACCCAATTGTAGTTATGAAACTGGTAGTGAAGGAACCATCTGAAAAACGTAAAAGAAGGCAACTCTTACCCACACCTGAGATTAGAATAAGGAAAGAAAAAATTAGTTTTACCCAATTAACAGAAGTAATAAACAGATGATGACCACATCACTAGCTTCAATCAGGAACAGATGTTTGTACTTCAAAGAGAAAACATGCTACACAATTTCACCTCTACCCAAAATACCCATGGCATTTCACCTTTAAGACAAATATAAAGTTGGTAGAAATTTATCTAATTGAACCTTAGAATACAGAACATTGTAGCTTCTAAAAAAATATAGCATATTGTAAAAAAATCGGCTTGATTCAGTTTATTTTATTGCAATGACTAAATTCTTCATCTACTCCATTCTAAGCTATCAAAGACTTGCAATAGTCAAAATGTGGTCTATCATCATTGCTAAGACTGGAAAATTTTTTATGCATCCCATAAAAAAACATGGATATAGCTTTAGCTGAAATTATATTTGCATCATAATGTCATGGAATATAGAGAGAAACACAAGACTTCCAATGTTGTCTTCAGCTAAACAAATTACAATTCATAAGTCAATTATTATTTTTCTTTATTCATTCATATGTTATGTAATTTTGAATCTGAACAAGCGAAAAGGCCTAAATATTTGCTTTCAAATAGTCAAATCCAAAACAAATCAACAAAAAATACCTATAATGTAAGCCCTTGGGGGAACATAGCATACACCTATTTATTTTTGCATACACAAATGTGCTAGTTCAGTTACTTGTATATTTCCTCACTAAAGAGAGCAAATTTCAGTGTTGGAACGACCAAGTATCCAAAAATGGCCCAAACTTTAAACAGAACTCTAATTGACCCTGAACTCTTCAAACACCAATTTAGCTTACAAGCTTACCAAAATAATCCAATAATTACCCCAACCGTTAAAAGAGGTCTTGGTTGACTTTGGGTATTTCATGTATGCACTATGCAAGTGCCTCAAACACATGCGCAATTAGATACACGAACAAAGTTGTAAGCAGTGAATCAATGATCGAATCTGTCACAGTTGGAAAATTATAATTGCAAAAAGTGCAGATCAAATCAGTTTTTTTTAAAGTTCAGTGTAATGTTTATGTATTTAGGCATGCTGGAACTTTCACGAGACAGACTGTTAGATTACAACTTACTTCATTTGCCTAATCGTCATTTTGGTAGAGACATCTACATCTACACCATGTCTAAAGACAATTTAAGTTCAGGATCATTATTGGATTAGTTTAGTTAGTTTAGGGGTTAAATTAGAATATTATATGCTTGAGAGTTCAAGATCAATCAGTTTTTTTTAAGTTCAGAGCAACTTTTACATATTTGGTCATGTTGGAACTTTCACGAGACAAACTGTATTGTGAACTCTTCTTATAGTTAGACTGCATCACCCATAGTAGCCACATTCTTAATATTGTGAACATGAATCATTGAAGCAACTTCAGCACTCACACAATCCAGAGCTCTTTAGCCATGAGTGCACACACTTGGACGGAATATTGGAATATAACAGAAAATCATACTCCGTATTACAGGAAAAGGGAGTTCTAAACTAGTCCTAGAACGTTACATACCCAAATAACCCAAATAGACCCAGAGGCTCGACACACTGAAACAATGAACATAAATTTAAATATGAGTTTTAGTAGAGCAAAAGTCAACCTAGTAAAAGCATGTAAACCTTATAGACCACTAAGAAATCAAATTTGAAATTCACCAACACATTTACAAAATGACAGGCAAAATTATAGAAATACGAAACTAGATCTTACAAATTATCCATATCCGGCCACATACCACTGTCACCGATTAAAAGGAGTTTGATGAGGTAATCGTAGTCGGCTCGAGCTCTGGCGGGTGGAGCAGCCATTTGATTCCTCAGGTACACAGGAGTTTAAAACGAATTCGGAAACAATAGCCCTATGAAGGTGCAGGGGAACAGAACAAAAGGACGATTTCTGGTAATTGAACAAACCAGGAAATGAACGTAAACAATATTGCAAACACTGAAATGTTAATTGATGAAGGAAAAATAAGGAAACAGGCAGGATCGGAGAAAGGGAGAAAGAGAGTCGAGATCCAGAGATCTAACCAATCTTCACCTGGGGAAAGAGGAGGGAAGCTCTATGGAGACGTCACAACCGGTTGGCCATTGAATTTTTATTACGTTGGATCTTAATTACTCATACGTTGAATTAAGGAAAAGCTCCTAGTTTGACTGAAATTTTGAGATTATACTTTTTCTTTAGTAAATACGTTTTTATTTTCAAAAATGATGTTTGTATCTATTTTTATATTCACTTTTGTACTCACCTATGTTTGTGAAGTGTTTTTTTGTCTATGAATCCTGTTTAACAAACAATATTTTGCACAAACAAAATATTGTCTGTGAACCGAGTTCACAGATAAAAAAAACACTTCACACACATGATGGGTATAAGGTGGATATAAAAGTAGATACATGAAGCAATGTTGTTTTATTTTAGACAAAGTAAATATCACTCCATTAGGCTGGCTGCAATCCAGTAGGTGAATAGCCAAATATAATGTTTTCAACCCCAATTTCACTGCAATCCTGGTATTTAGAAGTGCTATTGGTGGTTACATTCACCTTCTCTCATGGGAATTTGCTACCTTAGAAGCTGTTCTCTTCACCTTATCTGAATGTTTCTTATATGAATTTTTTAAGTTCTGATCTAAATTTTTCTGATCTGATCTGAATCTTTCTGATCTGGTCTGATCTGATCTGAATCTTTCTGATTGATAGGAATTTTTCTGATCTGATCTGAATAAAATAAGAATAAACAATAAGTAATAAGAATAAGACGAAGAGAACATCTTCTAAGTAATGTTTTTCTTTTAATTTTTTCCCTGAATAATTATGAAATAAAAAGTACATATTTTGATGTACAAATAAATAAATTTCAATAATTTTTTAAAGTTTTCCGATGAATAAAAAATGAACTTAGTTCAAGGAAAGTTCGATTGTGGAATATTCAATTATTTGTTAAGGCTCCATGAATTAAAAATTTGTGTTTCATGTTTTTTGAGGTTCAAGAAAACTTCAACAACTAAAACTTCAGTGTTTTTTTCATTTTATATATTACATATTAGTGTCATATGAAAGATAATAAAAATTTATAGATTTTTTGAAATATTTTTTGAAAAAATTGGAGAAAAAATAAAAAAAAGTTATATACTCCTCCGATTCAAAAACAAGTTTCATCTTTCCTTTCCGGGCAGTTCCAAAATTAAGTTCCACTTTCAAACTTTTCCTTATTTGGCAAATTATCTACATCCAAACAGTTCCAAACAGTGTCAAACAGTGTCCAAACAGCGCCAAACAGTGCACTCCACGGTAAAGTCAAATTTCTTTTCTTAATATCTGTGAAGTCAAATGTGGAACTTGTTTTTGATTCGGAGGGAGTAAGATTTTAAAAAAATGGGATATTATGATGCAAAGATGATATCAACATGGCATCATCCGCACCAAAAATGCAACCTTTGTCCGTCCTTCCTCTTCTTTTTTCTTTCTTTTTTCTTTTCCCACTCTTCTAAACCAATCCTCTATATTTAACCCCTCTCATCCCCTTTTCCACTTTCAATACCTCTTTTAAACCTCTACTACACACAATTAAGAGTCTACAAATTCTACATTTAGCTTTTTGGACTCCTAATACCTCACCACTCCAAATTGTCTAATTACTTGTTGAAGTATGCCCACTAATTGATGGACTGCCACACTATCCATCAGGGCCAGGCATATCGGTTTTCGGTTCGGTTTTTATCGATTTCGGTTTGGTTTGGAACGGGATGAGAGAAACATTACCAAACAAAAACCATAGTATTTCTCGGTTTGGTTCGGTTCGTTTAGCTCGGTTTGGTTTGGTTTGAATTTGTTATTTTTTAATAAAATACTCCCTTCGTCCCATTGACTTTGCCAAATTTCCCTTTTTTGTTGTCCAAAAAAACTTTGTCATTTTCATATTAAAGCAACTAATTTGTGGTTCTGCACATTCCTCTCTCCTCTGCACAAATTTCAACCACACAGTTTTTACTATTCTTATTTCTCACCTACTTTGCACATGGCAAAGTCCATCGGGACAGAGGTAGTATGAAGGATTTTTTGAATTTATTTAGTTCAATTCGGTTTCGTTCGTTTTTATCGGTTTCGATTCGGTTTGGTTTAATACGGTTTGAAAGAAATACTACCAAACTCAAACCAAATTGCATACGGTCCGATTTCGGTTCGGTTTAGCTCGGTTTGGTATGGTTCGATTCGGTTAAACCAAACGTTATGTCCACCCCTGCTATCCATCATCTGCTAAATTGAACTTGACCTTCACGCACCTCACACCTTATAAAACACTGGTTATAGATAGATTATTCTACCTTAAGCGCATTTTTAACTAATTATCTTATATAATATCTTATATATAACATAAAGTAGCAAAGTTGCTACATGTTTTGGAGGCAAAATTCCCGTCCATTTAAAGGGTATAAGTGGAAATTAATATTGCATAAGTGGAAATTAATATTGCATCAAAATTGACCGAGGAATTGGCCGGCCTTATTAATTACCTTCTATATATATTTGGAAGTTCATGCATACCACTAAATAAGAGTATACGAATGGCAATTAATATATTCCTTACAAATTTCATAAATTCTGCATATTCCGCATGCATTTGGATATTAAATTAAATATACTCGTATATAATTAAAGGTAGCCCGTTGATTTTTCAGCCAGCGTTAGAACATGAATACAATACCGATAAAGTGGTAATAAATGGAAAGTTTTGCTCAAGAAAATCCTATAATTAATGCTGAAAATAAATTAGCAATTTACCGTAATTTTGATCATAATCCATCTGCAAAACTTTAGTTTGAAACTAAGTTAACTACTTAATCAACGGGCTCCTAAATACTCCGTATAAATAACTTGATAACCGGCCCACATTCATTCTAACAATTGTGAAAAACTGTATAAAAAGTAATCATGTTAGTGAAATTCAGAGCCCGTTTGGTAGCACAAAAATCGGCTGTTTTGGCTGATTCTGCAGAAATTTATGAAGTTCTGGCTGAAGTGGCTGCATTGGCTGATTTTGATGGTTTTAGGAAAAAATATTTTTTAAAATATATTTTATTAATAAAATAAAGAAAAAATTATATGTAAAAATAGCTAAAATGGACATCTACAGTAACTTCAGCCAATACAGCCAGAAAAGTAACTCCAACCTTACTTTTTCTGCTTATTACACATAGTGATGGCAACGGGGCGGATCGGGGACGGGTATACATAAAATCGGAACCGCCCCGTTGGATAAATGTTTGCCCCAAAACCGCCCCATTACCCATTCGGGTAATTTTTATTTGAACCGTACCCACCCTAACGGGAAATCGGTTTATCCACGGGTAACCGTTTCCCCAAATGATACCAAATAACCAACTTTTTTTGGGAAAACAAATAACCAATTTTTAATCCTACTTGTTATTATTTATATATTCAAAGCACCCTAAAACATACAAAAATAAACATTTAAGCAATCAAGCAGACTGACCTAAATTCATTAGTATGACATGCACCCAATATCTCTTGTAACATAATAAAAAAGTAGTAATCATCCCAGAATCCAAATTTCAAAAATAGGTCAGTTGCCTATATTTAGTTTTAGGCCTAAAAAAGTAGTATACTTTTTAGCATTATTTATATGATATATACTATTTATTATACACAATTTAGCATATATAGTTATTATTCTTATATATAAAAAGTTATAATTTATTAATAATGTTATCGATCGGGTAACGGTGCGGGTACCCGCACCACTAGTGAACGGGGCGGTTTCGGGGCGGTTTCGGGGCGGATCGGATAACAGGGTGGATTAGTATAGAACCATAACCGCACCATTAACCATTTAAAAAATTCGGGTATTCCCCGCCCCTACCCATTCCCCAGTCAAACCGGTTTTCCCCAGTTTGACCAAATCGGTTCGGTGCGGGTATCCAACGGGTCGGTCCAAATTGTCATCTCTAATTACACAATTCAGCGCGCAAAAGCAAAAAATACGTGTTTGGTAAAAAAGTTGGCTGATAATCCGAAATAGAGGGTTGCCAAACGGCCTCGCAATATGGGTACATTGAAAGGAGAGTTTGTGTACATGAGATCTATTGATGTACACAAATAATGAATACCTAAAAATTACGGTATAAAACATCACTAAGTTCCTCATACTTTTGTCTTCATAGTTAAATTTTAATTCAAAGTTTACTATGTGTATCTAGATAAAATACCCCTATAGGGGTTTGGACCGACACTAGGCCACTGCTGCCAGAGCTTTGCCGCCACCTCTTGCCGCCGCCGGTCACCAGAACTCTGCTGCCGCCGCTCCCCAAGTTCAGCCGCAACCAGATTGCCGCCAACTGACTCACCCTGATTATGCACATTGATTATACTATGTATTAATTAATTATATTAGGGCATCCTCATTGGAAGGATTATTAAGAGATTAAATTGATGACATGCGGATTTTTTGGAGGAGTATCATTGAGAGACATTGATTATTTAATGAGATTATTTGCTAGAATAATCCGGGATCAAAATATGAATCCGGATTATTTTAAGATTATTTGAAAAGTATATGTAATACGTTAATGCATGGCTGAGAAAAAAGCGGATTATTTGAAGATGATGGTTGAGATGCATAAACGGATTTTGAGATTAATTAAAAATTAATTATGTAACAATATTTAAAAGGTAAGAATCATAGAATATATTGATTTTTAGAGATTACGAATGGTGATGCTCTAAGAGGGATATGTGGAAAGGTAATGTTTAATCTTATTTTGGGAATAAAAATCCTATTTGTGAATTTATGTTTAGGGTTAGTCCTATAGAACAATTTCTCTTTAATGAATTCGAATACCATCATTTTTAATAATATAAATGTATTAATAAGTGTGTGTTATAGTTTAATAAATTCAGTTTATTAAAATCAGTTTAATAAATTTGTGTTATAGTTTGTGTTAATTTATTCACAAACTGCACAGTCATATAATCTGCACAAACTTATATAAATGTTCAGTTTATTAAATGGGAAGTCGGAACTATACTCTTTCAAGCTATGGTTCAGTTTGTGAACACCAGACATCAAATACATCATTTTTTTAATTCCAGATTCTATAATTTCATATGAAAGCGAAGTGCATATTTTCCACATATAATTTAGAATTGGGTTTTCGGTTTATTTCGTTTGGTGTGTTTCAATTTTTGGTCAATTTTAGTATGTTTTGGTCGAATTTTTTTCAATTCAGTCATTTTCAAATTCAAAGGCATAAATAAAGCGAACTATATAGAATAAGGTCAATTCTGATCATTTGTTGTTTTATTATGTTCCATTCCCGGTGAAAGGGTTTTTAATATGGACAAATTTATTAATTATCAGATCAAATCTGTGTTTGAATAAAATTACACATTAATAGCAAACACGATCAAAAGTTACAAAACTATATTATTTGTAATTTTCTCAAAACGAACTTACTTAACCATTGTTAAAATGCAGTGAGGGGAGTAAGATTACATTTCTTTATAGTGCAGGAGTGTGAGTGATAGTACATCAAATCTGAAGGAATGTCATTGATAATTTCCATTTTGATACAGAAGGAACAAAATGTAAAATAGAGAAAAAATATTCAACAATTGTCCTATATATGAGAATAACAAAAAAAGAAAAACAAGAAAATGTCAAGACATCTGAAACTTAATGGTACGTAATGAGCACCTTTTTTTAATAAAAAGGGAGAAGAGTCAACATTTCTACTATTTCTCATACATCACTTAAATTCATATATAAAATATCAAATAAGCATGTTTACTATAAAAGCACCGTAGGTCGAGTCATGTTAATCTGCTATATCATGTTAATTTAAAAACAATTGAATGATCTTATAAACATTCATATAAATTTGAAAATAATGTAATAATAATATAAAAATAGTATTAGTTCAGGAATGGATAGACAATTTTAACGTGTTATCATAAAAAATAAATACAAAAAAAAAACAAAAAAAAAGAAAGTGAAAGTGTAAGAAACATAAAATTAAATTGTAATAACTTTAATAAAGATGTAAAATATATAGAGTTCCAAAAAACAAAAATATAGACTTTAACATTCTTAAATTGTCTACAACTTTTATTTATAATTCTTCGAATTTTAACAACATTTAAAGTTTTTTAATATAAAAAACATGCTATTACATGGCAAAAATCGATTAAAAGACTTGATTGATCGACTTTTAAAGCAAACATACTTATATGATACTTTTTTGTACAAGAGATTTAAATGATGAATTGGACATAGTAGAATAAACTATTTGACATTTTTCTCTTTCCTATTTTAAAAAATTGCTCATTAAGTACCATTATATACTCCGTGTTTGAATGTAATTTCAAACGGGCTATTACTCCACTCTAGTGGTTGGTTTGTAACTACTTTTAAAAAAGCACTTTTAAGCTTTTGGTTTTAAAAAAACACTTATTTTCCCAAACACTACAACTTTTACTTTTCTTGGCTTCCGCGTCAAAAGTGCTTTTACTTTTTCTATTACACAAAAAACACTTATTTTACCAAACACTATCCACTTTTACTTTTCAAAATCATTTTTTTCTCAAACACTATCAACTTTTATTTAATCACTTCTCCCAATTTCATTAAAAAATACACTTTTTAAAAAGTAGAAACTGTTGCAAATAGACCCTGGATATAATCTGTGCATCGCACGGTACTTCGTCTAGTTCTTAATTAAAATAGAAATGGGAAGTTGTAGACGATGGGAGGGTGTTGGGACCGTGGGACGGAGTATATATTGGCCAATAAAGAAGTACTTCGTATCTATATTCCAGTTTCTTTTATGAATTTTTTTGAGCATCTTCTTCACTAAGTCTAGTTTATCCATACCAAATTTCAGCTAAAAATTTAACCGGGAAGGCAGTCAAATGATTTTCTGAATTATACTGCGCTGTTTAACTGTTCAGTTATCTTCAAACATTTATTTGACTGCCTTTCCAGTTGAACTTTTAGTTGAAATTTGATATGTGTAAACTAGATTTAATAAAAAAGATGCTAAAAAATTTTCATCAAAAGAATCCATTGGGAACCGCCTTAAATGTCGACGGCCAGACAAAACTTCCTATAAAAGGGCTTATTTGCACTTTTTTGATCAGTTTTAAGGCTTATCCGCCCCTTTTCCAGATAGATTATTCTTAAGCGTGTTTTTAACTAATTTTCTTAATTAAAATAGAAATGTGAAGTTGTAGACGATGGGAGGGTGCTGGGACGGAGTATGTATTGGCCAATAAAGAATTATCTATATCCCAGTTTCTCGTGTTAGTCGTGTAAGCTTTAATGGCGGCGGCAGGGCTCTCTAACGGTAGGCCTAGTCACATTTCTGGTCCAATTTCACATTTTAGGTTGCTAAGTTTTGAGTCTTCACCCCGCAGTGGAAATCCTAGAGCAGCTAAGGGAAGGGGTCGCTGAGTTTGAGCTCTTCTCTTCGCCATTTCCACCCACTTCAACTTTAAATCCGAAGACCCAGCTGCACCATCACGCATTTCACCATAGGGTTCCGGATGGGAATCTCAAATCCTCCCTTCATTTCTTTGCCAGAATCGGACCATCACTGTGAGTCTCTAACCCATTGTCTTTACTTAGTATGTGATTGCAAGGCCGTCCCATTATGATTAGGAAGTCAGGGCCTTTTGCTAATTACAATAACTTCACCTTATATAATAAAGCAATGCACAATTTGGATCAAGAATAGTGTTTAGATACTTTTAAATATTACCATTTAATCAGTTAATCTTCAAATTTTATCACTAAAATATGAGTTTTTAAACAAATATGGGAGCTTTTGTATAATATGCAGGCTATATTTTCAAAATTTTGGGAGAGTTGTATAAGAGCTTTAGCACTTCTCGCACGCCCTAATCTAACATTTAAGTCGTTCCACATTTATAAATATGAATGGACAAATAAGTTATTAGAGCCAATTAAGTAATGACTAATGAGCAATTGATTCATTTAAGACTTAGAAAGAGCACACTAATTCAAGATTTGGCTACCTTTTAAGATGAACCCAAAGAACCACAACACAAAGGAAACTATCTCAACAACTGCACAAGATGATTGTAGAGATAACATGCAGAATACTGCTTATATTTGAATAGATTCTGCATGTATGTGTGTGTGTGTGTGTATATATATATATCCACATTGGGGGTTTTGAAATTGGAAACTGTATTGGTTTGAATTTACATTTCTTAATGATGTTGAAAGTTGTATCAAAGAAATTGCATAATGAATCAATGAGTAGCTATGTTTATATTAATCATGTTAGTTACTAGAACTATTGGAAAATTTTGAATACAACCTTGTCTGGTTTCCACAATGTGTTTTTGTTTAAAGAAAAATACAAAGTGATACCGAATGGATCGAGGTCCTTTTCAAATGGTGAGTAAAAATGTAAAATGCACAATATTTTATCTGCCAAGTACTGATTAAACAGTCAAATCTAATTGGTATTGCATATGTCATTTTGTTTTGGGAAGTGTGAGCATGAATTGCTTACTCTGGGAGCTGTGATGCTACACATAAGTTAGAGTCATGTTCCCTAAATTTTGTTTTTCTTGATTTTAATTTGGTCAAATCATCAACCCCCAACCAGAGGTGGAGACTCACAAGCTTTGAAGAGAGTGGAACGCTACTCAGTACAGAAAGTTGCAGGTGATGGACGATGCATGTTCCGTGCGCTGGTATGATTGACCTCTATTTGCAAAAGTGAAATTATCATATTATTATAAATGTATGTTTGTTATAAAACTTAAAATTGAAAAGAACAAGAATGAAACAATAAAGATGAAGAACTTCTCCACCCTAGTCAAGAGAATGCAGTGCCCGTCCCTCCGTGTCAAGACTCCATAGAATAACTCCAAAGTTATTGATAATATCATTAACGTATAGGGAACCTCTATTTAAACAGGTTCCAAAAGTCTTGGTAGAAGGCATTAGAGTAACCGACGATATTATTAATGAATAGAGACTGGGGTATAAGTGTATAACTTTACTGGGATGTAAGTTACTTGAGCCAAACTATACATCATCATCATCATCATCATCGGCCCAATGCTGCAAAGGCTCCCACCTTCAGTGAGGTGGGGGGATGGATGTACGCACTCTTACCCCTGTACTAAAGCACAGAGAGACTGTTTCCCGATAATCATAGTGAAAATCGCGTCGAAAATTGCATGGATTGACTGCTTTGTTATAACAAAGAAGCGCATACAGTTTAGTGAGTCATTTTGCTTTATTCCATCATATTCCCAAGCCAAAAAATAGTTAGTCTTTGGCTCCATTACAATTGATGGAAATGAGCCAAACTATACAATGAATTTAATTGGTTCTGTAGTTCAACCCAAAGTCTTATTTATCCATCATTCTCTTTACCTTTCTTATATAAGATTGTAGCAATCACCCTCTAGTAGACAAACAGACCATTTTGAATATAACAGGTTAGTCACTTGAGGTGAAACCTGTTACCCGAACCCCAAACTCTTCAGGGAATAAGGTTTCGATATTGTTGCCTCGTCACTCAGGGCTGAAAGGTCCTCATAATGGGCATACCACCATACTGGATTAATTTTCAGATTTCTGAGTTGCAGCAAAGATCAATTGGGCTAAGGCGAGTTGCTATCCATTCAGTATACTGGTTTGAATGCCAGTATAAATTCAGTTCAGAAACCGTTAGTAAGACACTGCGAGTGATGAAGGGATGGATGGGGAGAACTGTGAAAACATTGTGGACTAGGAAATTAGTTCTTGGGGGGGGGGGGGGGGGGGGGTAGGATTGTCATAAGCTGAATATTGTTGAACAGAACACATCTCAATGCATCAGTAAACTAAGCACACAAAAGCAGCATGACTCATTTCTTCAATTGAAATTTTATGTTATTTGTTGCAATTAGGTAAAAGGGATGGCTTTGAACAAGGGCAAGGCACTGGGCCCCCGTGAAGAAAGAGAGGGCGCAGGTAATACTACTTGTTGGTTGGTTTTAAAATCTTTACCTTTTTTGCCTTTCTGAGTTGCTGTTTCAGATATTTTATGTTTCCACTGTTATTTCGTAGACATGAATGTATAAAGCTCAGAATGTTAAGATTGAAGCCCCTGTTATGTTTGTATTTCTTTTTTATTTTCTTTGTGTACCGTTCACACTAGTGCATCAAATTTACTTAACTGCTCCATATGACATTTTTGTAGCAATCTCTTCCCCTTTGTTCGGTGGAGGGTTATGGGGGAGGGAGGTTAAAATTATTAACTAATTTTAATTTTAGATGGTTCAGAAAGACCGAAGATCAAAAAAAAGTTATATACAAATAGATAAAGATAAGTTAGTGAAACAAAAATCAATCAACCTCCCCATATCCCCCAACCAAACACACCCTTACGGTCTGTTTGGGCGGAAACATAGAATTTGGATGGCTTAGTCTTTGTTACAATATATTTGAGATTTTATTAAAATTGAAGGATTAACATAATATCCGATGTGTAACACTTCAGTTAGATTTTATTTGTTTTTAGGAACACTCTGCTCATCAAGATATAAACTAACAGGCTGTCTATTTGTGATTTAATAAGTTTAAATTTGACAGTGGCTTAACCATTCAACTGGTAAGTTGGGTTTACTTATGACTTAATAGGAAGCACAATTATTTGTTCAACAAAAACTGACTTAATTAGTAAACCTTGATATATTAATCCTTCCCATAAGACATCTATTAACATGTATGTTCATTGTTCAGCCAATTTTTTAACTCATCATGGAATGTATATGCATGATTATAAGCAACATTACTTTTTTTTATAAGGAAACTCAAATGTAATCTTAAATTAGTTATTTTATTCGATTCAAACTTATATTCAAGTAATTCAACAAACAGAATAACCAGTCTTTTACGCAAAGACTACTTAATAGTGACATACAACATAATCTTAATCCAGAGAGGACTTTATAGAAAAATAGTAAATTGCCTGATTGCTTGTAAGCCCTTCAAATCCTTTCCATGCGAAGTGCAAAAAGTAAACTGCCTCTAACGGGCTGCATTTTGAATCGTATTGTCATTCTACGATTAAATGTTTTCGGTGTCCTTTAATTTTGCTTTCCCTTGGAAACCAACTTCATTTTGAACATAAAGATGAACTGAGGATGGCAGTAAAAGAGGTCATTTGTGACAATGATAAAGAACGCCTGAAGTATGAAGAGGCCTTGATTGCAATCACTGTTGATGAGTCTTTAAACCGGTGAGCTTACGAATCCATCACATGCAAGTTATGCTATAGAGAAGCCATTATGCTAAGGAATGTGCCTTTTTAGCTTTTGTTATATGCTTTTTGTAATGTGAAGATTCAATTTATTACTCTCTTCAACTTTTCTCTTTAGCTACTGCCAGCGAATTGGGCGAGCTGATTTCTGGGGAGGAGAGCCAGAGCTACTGGTATGGCATGCTTGTAATCCAACTTATTCTCATGTATTTCACATTATGTGATCTTGTGGATATTTATGTCAAAGGCCTTACACATGTTGATTGTCCTCAAGGAAAATATGCATCTTGTTCATTAATTTTCACATGATTCACACACTCTCAAGTTCACCTGCTCAAAAAAGGCATAATAGTATAAATAAATTTATTTTTCTTTTTCCCCGAGGGGGATCTTCAATATCCTTTATATGTCACTGACAGAAGGGGGGGTGTACGGCTGCATCCTGCACCACTGGAGTCTTTGATGGGTAATGGATTTATGTTTATTTATAATCTAACTGCTAATGAATGGCCCCTTTCTACTCCAGGTATTGTCGAAGTTATTATGCCAGCCAATCATTGTATATATACCAGAACATGAGGTTCCCTCCTCCCCCCAATATTTTTCTCACCGAGCCTCACTCGGTTTTATTATTATAGCTTAAATATTTCTATAGTCCCTGCAAATATAAAGCTCTTAGTTTAAAGTCCTGCAATTAATTTTCTAGTCTTGTAGTTTTTTAGTTTCTCACTGACCTTGTAGCAACCTTTGTTTAATAATACAAGTATACAATACACTTGATTAACATAATTTCTTTCTTGCATTTCATGTCATTCCATTTAAAAAAAAAATACTTGGTTTATTTTACGATAGCATTAATATGTGGGGAGCCTTGGCGCACTGATTATGTTGTTGATGTGTGATCGAGAAATCACAGGTTCAAGCATTAGGAGCAGCCTCTTGTCAAAATGAAAAAAGAAGGCTTAACTCCTTACACACCCTGGTGATGGGATTCTTCCCTGGACCATCACCTTGCGGGGACATGTGCACTGGGCTGCCCTTAGCCTTAATATGTGAATTATTAGTTTTGCTTAGATTTAGCTCCACTATAGTTTCCAAAGCATTATAAAAGTTTTAACTGGAAAGTTTTTAGGAGTTATGGGAGACATTGATTTTTTATAATCAAGATTCTCTAAGAGTTGGATAGAGTCTAAAGTCTAAACAGAAAATAACATGTATTGCAGAGGGTTGAAAATAATTTGCAGGAACTTAAACCAAGAGGTGTTAATGTGTTATATTTGCAGTGACTAAAACTATATTTAAATAATTAATGTTACTATTGGTATTGTTGTTGTTGTTGTTATCATTATTATTATAAACCTTCCCTTTTGCATCTCTTTAACTTGTGTACTGCAATCTAAGCTATCCGTCTTAAATGCAATTGAGGCAGTATGGACGAGGCACTGGTTTTACTTCAATTGCGGAGTATGGAGGAGAATTTCGCGAGGGCACGAAGAATAGAAAAGCAAGACAAGCCGTGAAACTTCTTTTCAATGGCTGGAATCATTATGACCTACTTGTATAGACATCAGAATATCATATCATGGATTGTTTTCTTGTAGTCAACCATAATCCATGCTAACAAGTCATGATGCCCAGTTTTTGTCTGGAAATTTAGGAAAATTCCATTGCAAATCTGCAACAAGATTTCGCAATTCGGTTTAATGAATGGCTTTAATATTGCATGCTAAAATTCTAGCAGGATGAGTGAATCCCAGCCTTGCTTGATCTTGGAATTTGAGTAATCTCATTCAGTTGAAACAGTTCTGGATTGATTCTTGTTCCACTAAATAGGCACAAAACTAAACATTCGCGGAACCACTCAGCTCTTTATCATGAGCAGATAGAGAATTCGAGCTCAACAAACTGAGGCTCTGTTTGCAAACACAACTGGGAAGTGCTTTTAACTTTTTTAAATGATTTGGTAAAAAAGTGATTAATAGTAAAAGTTGTTGGTGTTTGAGAAAAAAATGATTTTGAAAAGTATACGTTGGTGGTGTTTAATAAAATAAGTGTTTTTTGTGTAATAGAAAAAGTAAAAAGCAGATTCTAGCTTTTAGCTTTTAAGTAATTCATTTAAGTAGAATTTATCATTTGAAAACATCTTTTTAGCTTTTTTTAAGCCAAAAGGTGAGAAGTGCTTTTTTAGTTATGTTTGCAAACAGAGCCTGAAGCGGGGCAGAATCACTAAAAATTATTACCTGAATTATGTATTATTAATTAAACCAATATATTATTTCTGAAGCGATAGATTCAACGAAAAAGACTTAAAAAGAAAAGTGAGCACATATACTACGTATATTCAAGTACGTATGTACTTGTATACTACGGTCATTCCCACTTTATGAATTTAAACCGATTTAATATGTAACTTTATAAACATATAATAATGCTACACCCAAGTTCAATACTTCATGTGTCCAAAAATCATCCCACTTGTGATTTTCCTTGTATTACCCCTACTTTTATATAAAAAATAATATGTAGTTATTATGCTTCTTTCTTTCTTTAAAATAATGATAAATTAATAATCGAAATAAAATTAGTGGATAAAACAAGTCATTTTATATATTAGTGACTAATATAATACGCAGTAATGTTAGTGACCATAATTATATTCAAGAGTACACTATAGTGACTAGTGTGTGTGACTATGTATTGTAGCAATAATTGTATTTTTATCCATAAATATATTTCAGTAGTATTTATGCAAAAACTTTTTCTTTCAGGATAGAAGAAACTAGTCCTGTAAATGGGCAATGGGCATTGCTCTAATGCAACGTCTCTATAACTTTTTACTAGTAGTTTACAAACAAGGATATTTTGTTGTTTAACTAAAGAAATAAATAAAATGAAATGAAATTGAAGTGATAGTTTTAGAAAATAATTACATGTTTATGACTTAAATAAAAGTTGTTTATAAAAACGTAACTTATTAAGTGTAGTACCTATAGTTGTAACTATAATCACAATAATTTATATTCAATTTTTATACTTAAATGATTATAACATTCTACATAGTACTATAATAATTTGTTACTCAATATTATATTTTTGTAAATAAATTTTCTTTCAGTAATATTTTTGATAAAAACTCTTTTAGTAGTCTTATATTGATAAAATAAAAATGTTGTACTTTATCCAACACAACTATATACTTTTGAATTTGAAGTAATTTTAGTCCAAGATGTTTAACAAAAGGGAGAATTTGACTTTGCACCTCATGTTTTGGGTGATATTTGACTTTGCATCCTACTTTCAAAATCATTAATGTATGCACCCTAATTCACTATAAAATCATTTCACTTTGCACCCTACTCCTTCACAATTTTTGGGCTAATGGGGTGCATACATTAATGATTTTAAAAATGTGGTGTAAAGTCAAATATCACTCAAAACATGGGGCGCAAACTCAAATTCTCCCTTAACAAATCTATGCATTCCAAAGGCTCCCAAAAAAAGAAAATTCAAAGTGACAGGATTAGCTCAACAACCTCAATGAGGGGCAGAGAGGTAAAGATCTAAAAGGAAAAAAAAAATGGAGGGAAGGGGATAAAAAGACATGTATATTGTATGAGTAGATTTTCAAGCTTTTAGGGTGGCCTGCTTCCCACTATCTCTCCCCTTCTCAAATCTTCCAATTCAAGTAGATACACCATAAGCCTATACCTCACCTTTCTCTGAATCTTATTCCTCACTGCAGATAAACTGCAGCTGATATCAAAGCTGTAAGTGAGTTTTTCCCCCTCTGCTTCAAATGAAATCAGAAGGCCCTTCATCCAAGTTTCTCAAAATGGGATCATCAGATCGGCTGTTTAATAGGCAGAGAAGTCTTCATCAGATCCTTGGAGGAGGTCTTGGTGAGTCAGTCTTCTCAATTTCACTGTTTTGGGTTTTAGATCCAAATTATGAACTGCCTATGCTAGTCTGTGTATAATTCTTGTTCAATCAATAACTTTGCTTCATCATGATATAAGTTAATCTTGAAATACTTCTGATCTGCAGTAAGTAAATAAAAGCTTGTTTGTTTCTGGTGACCTACTAGTCTGTAATCCTGCATAGTTCAGTTAAAGTTAGCTGTTAGGCGTTTTCTTTTAAATTGTTAATTTAGGGTCTGTTTGGATGGAGGGATTTACAAGAGGATTTTGAACACTTATCTATATGACTATATCTTCAAAGGGAGGTTGCAGTTTTGTTTTGTTTTCTCTCTAAGAGCCTAATAGTCTGTACATAGGATTAAGATTGGAAGAATATGCTGAAACTCTGGCTGAATCTCTTCAACTATGGGATACTTATATGGTTTAAATATGTTTTAGCCCCTACAAATATAGTACATTTTGCTTTACATCCCTGCAATTGTTTTTTGTTTTGTTTTTCGTCCCTGCAATTTATGTTGGTTTTCTGTTTAGTCCATCACCGATGATAACAACCTCAGGTTGACCTCAAATTAACCCCGAATAATATATTTCCTCTAATTCTTTGTGATGTCATTCAAAAAGTATTTATTTTTAGAAGGTTTTTAATATATATTTTGAAATGTGAATACGTAGTTTTACATTGTTTTAACTCTCATATTAGCCTCAAAAATTTTATAAAAGGACAAATGTAAATATTTCAAGTAGATTTATGCAACTCGCATTTTTTGTTTGTAAGTAGAGTGGTTTCGGAATTAGAGACGGACTAAAAACAAAATAGTGCATATTACAGGGATGGAAAACACAAAAAATTGCAGGGACTAAAAACAAAGTGTGTCAAATATATTTGATTGACAATTAAAGAAATTATGCTCTCTATGAAAATGCTAAAATTGTCCCTTTCCTCAAATTAGATCAATTCAGGCAAAAAATACCTTTGGCCTCGCTTATTTGAATCATTATACACTTCATTTCAGAAAAAAAAAAAATTAGAGTTTATTATAAAATCTGGCTGTTAAGCCAAAAATGGGTTACCTAACAAACACTAATTATGTTATATATTCCTTACATTTTTATCAACCAACTCCCAAGCTGAACTTAGTGGATGGGGTAATTATTGATGTTTGTGATATCTTTTTCTTCAAACAAAAAACAGTTGCTGATGTGATACTGTGGAGGAGAAAAAATGTGTCAGAGGGGATCCTAGCAATTACATTGTTTTCTTGGGTTGTGTTTGAAAGATCAGGCTATACTCTTCTGTCTTTAACTTCAAGTGTTTTCCTGCTTCTGCTTGGAATTCTTTTTTTGTGGGCAAAATCAGCTGCAGTCCTAAAGAGGTAGGATTTGGAACGATCTTGATGTTTGTGGCTTTCTTTTTAGAAAATTACAGTTATAAAACTATTTACTGGGTTTACACACTGGACATATTTGATGCGTTTTTTAAATTTGGTTTAAATATGGTTTTAGTCTCGTACATTTAGAGTTTGTGTTTACGGTCTCTTTAGTCTTTAGAATCATCTTTTTTTGTGTTTCATCTCTATGCGGTAAATTGTTATGGCCAACATAACAACCTCCAACCTCCTTTTAAAACCAAAATTAGTATGGCCAACATAATTTCAATCATTCTTTTTCAAGTCAACTAATTCAAAAGATACTTAACATTTTTTTGGGAAGAGAGCAATGGGAACCAATATTGAGAGCATCAATGATAAGTTTGGTATAGTTTTATCAAGTAATAGCATCCAAAAAGTTTTAAAAAGCCGGCATAGAAAGCTTGCAATAGCATTTGTGCCAGATTAATTATTATTTTTAAACACAGAAGGTTAGAGGAGGGCTAAAAAGAAAAGAATATCAATTACAAAAAAGTGCAGGGATACCAACAACAACATCCAAGCCTTAATCCAAAAGATTTTGGGGGAAAAAGTGCAGGGATCCTAAAACAAAAATTGTAACAACGCCATTACACTTTCTGTTCACCCATAACTATATTAGTTCATGATTGATATGATACTTGCCTGTTTTGCATGTGTAAAATGTAATGAAGATAAGCTCGTGTATAAGACATGTAGCTACTTCTTTTGTCCAGTTAAGCTTTGAAGATAGAATCCTGAATTCTAATATGGTATGATATGCAAGCCAATTAACAAAATGACCTTTTATAATGGAACTTCTAATCTTAACATAATGATGTTTTTCCATTTCTTTTAATTTGTTCTCATCGTGTGTTGCAACAAAGAGTGTTACATGTTGTGAAGACAATGCCAGTCACATACAAAGCAGATATCCTGGCTAGTATTTACTATTTTATGAATGTCTTGCAACAGACCTGCACCACCTATACCACATCTGCATATCTCAGAAGAAAGAGTGAAAGAAGCAGCAATGTTCATCTGTGGCCATATTAACACATTGCTTTCTGCATTCGAGGATATTGCAATGGGCAGGGACACCATGTTATTCATTAATGTAGGCTCAGTTCTGTTGCTGGTTTCAGTCATTGGCGTGATGACAGATTTTCTCACTTTGGGTTATACTGGTAAGTTTCCAAGTCATAGATTTTTGTCATTATGATTTATTTATGATGCTGGAATGAATTTCAAGGATTCATTGAATGTTTCATTGGTGGCAGGGGTTGCCATTATGCTCACATTACCTGCACTTTATGAGAAGTATGAAGATCGTATTGACAAATATGTACGGATGACATACGGGAAATTGCAGAGTTTTTATTTAAAATTGGATGTTGAATGCACTACTTGCAAGATTCGAAATTGGATCGTGGACACAAAATTTGACTAAATTTTCATTTTGTATTTGAAATCATTTTCCTTCGGTTTTGTCGATAGTCGCTTTTTAA